TCAGATTGGGGGCAGAGGAGCGCCCGGCTCTCTGTCACTGCTGTACGCAATCAGCATGCACCTCACTGCGTGTGCCCTTGATTTCTGTGCATGTCACGTTAGTAATACCAGAAGGAAAAAAAAAACCCTATGTGGACCAAAACCAATGGCTTCCATATCCCCCAAGCTAACACCTCTTGGTGTGACCCGCCCGGTTCCCCCCTCCCCGGCTGTAAGTAGTGGTGGCTGGAGAAGAGTCCCAAGGTTTATATGATGCTCTGGACACCACATGATACAGGTTCTGTTTAGCTCATGAGGGTTCCTCCCCGTAGGTGATCGTCTGGGGCGATTATGGCCGCATGGATCACAAGTGCTTCATGGGTATGGCCCAGATCGTCTTGGAAGAACTGGATCTGTCCAACATGGTCACAGGCTGGTACAAACTCTTCCCCACTTCCTCGCTGGCGGACTCCACCATCGGCCCACTGACGCGTCGCCTCTCCCAGTCCTCTCTAGAGAGCTCCACGAGTCCTTCTTGCCCCTAAGGGGCAGGGCTCAGGGCTGGGGGGGGGGGGTTGGCGGAACGGCTGTAAATATTCTGTGTCTGGTTTTGTTTTGGTTTTTTTCTCTTCCTGAAATGAGCTGCTCTCGATGCGTTCCTTGCCAACCGCAACGTCCCACCACACAGGCAGGGGACTTGAATATGAGGGCGCACGGGAGGGAGAAACAAGAACAAACTTGTGACGCGGAACAAAAGACGTGACCATCCGAGGAGCGATCCTGAGACTGTTACCGCACCTCATCGAGTCCTGCTCGGAAAAGAGTCAAAACGATGGACTGTATTTCTCATCTGAATTGCTAGCGGAAGCCTCTTGGATCTGATTCACTCAATCCCACTGCAAGTAGCATGTTAACGCCACTTCGTTTCACCTCAGTTTTGTTTTCCTGACCCTTGATGGGGAAAAAATAGCTTTTTCTTTTTTTAAAAAAAAGAAAGAATATATTCAGCACTACGACTTTTTTAAAGGAATGTAGCATCTTCTGACATTATGTAGCCTGCCACGTGCTAATTTAACACATGTTTTCTCTCTGCAATATCTAGGAGGGTTACTCTCTCCTTACCAACAGGAACTGTCTGCCAGTCACTTGCTGTTTTGTTAGTTCCCTGACACAAATCTTGCAAGGTTAAGCAAGCAATCTGTCCAAGCTTTTTTTTTTTTTTTTTTTTGTAGCATGTAGCTTGTGACAAGTGACTCTGCCAAAGGAGGAGGGGAAGAAAAAGATGCATTTCACCTGACTGTTATTTAAATGTCTTCTGGTACTGTCTCGATGTTCCATTCTTTCAGATATTTTTGAAGAACCACCCCCAAAACGTAATTGACATCATGCCTGGTGCAACCATTCCAGCTAGAAGGGAAGGTTGCAATGGCGGTTGAATTTGAACACCTATTCAGCCTCATCTTTGCTTTTTCACCCTTAGGTGAGATCCAACTTGTAGGTGAAAGGTTTCCACGCTCAATTACTGAATTTCACATACCAAACAGAGGGTTTAATCGGAACACATACAGCCCATCACCAGAAAGAAGGGTTGAATGCACCTTTTCCCAACCCTCAACTCATTGGTATGCTGCAAGGAAACATCCCGGTTGCATTCACTGTGTATCTGGCGTAAGGGTGACTGATAGGTTACAACACAAATTAGATGTTTTGAATTTATTACAATGATAAGTGTGTGTTTTGTTTTTTTGAAAGCAGCATTCTGGTGCCCAAAGGGAACCAGTTCTTGTAGCAAAACCGAGACTCACGGAAGCTTTTTATGAAGGTGCCTAATGAAATTTGCTGAAAATACTCAGGGGAGACACCACTGGAAACTGCCGTTTCTTCATTCAAAAAAAAAATATACAGTGACTGTCCTGAAGGATCAGTTTCCAAAACCAAGAGATGGAGGAGTGGGTCAGACTGGAAACGGATGTGAGATTAATGGCGTATTTCAACCTGACCTTCAGTCTTTCACACCAATCAACCAAAGGCAAGATTGAGTGTTATTAGTATTGACTGGCAAAATGCACAGAGCATAAGGAACACGCGATGGTTCCTCCTGCTAGCAAGGATGAGCCAACTAGAACTTATTGCTGCAAAGAAACAAACAAAAAATAAACCTGAAGAGTAAGAACTTTGCTTAGAAACCAACCCCTCCACAGAATGGAAACTGCCAGTCAGCACCCCACTGCTCTTTGGTGGCGGTTTTACAGGACACAACCACCATCAAGCTTTCAGCAACTTTGTCAAGGAATTTCAGCTGCTGTAAATGTACACTGAATTTGCAACTTCACTAAACCAAAAGTTCTAGAGACCCTTCAGCGGGGACCAGACTGGATTCTGCCGACTACAGCTGAAGACAGGTTTGTCTGTTCTCCCATCTCCAGGATCTCATGGTTTTTCTCCCAAGGACCCAGAACCTACTGCGCTGTGGTGAAGAAGTGACTGTTCAGTACAAGCAATATACACTGATTTTCAAATTCACACTTGAAGGTGGCTCTGCTGGTCCATTGTATGGTTTCACCTTTGAGCTGGAGTGGATCATTTTGTGCCGGGCTTACTGGAACTGGAAAAGGTGAGGACATGAATTTAGGTTCCTTCCAGAGCATGATGCTGTTACTTGGTGTCCACGCTGGCTGGCTGGACTCTATTTCTTTGCTTTTGAGTGCTGCGTTTTTCAATACGTTGGCAGGCAGGTGTCTGAACAGGACAAGACTCAAGTTTTCTTCAGAGCCTAACATCTCTCCTTTTGCATGGCCACTCAAGTTTAGAAGACAACAGGACACCCCAGCCTTTCTGTGCTGGACAAATGAGATTGCATTTGAGTTAGGAGTTGAGCTGGGTTGAGCATTAGGAGGCCAGCTTGGTCAAAGCAAGAAAATCTGGTTGATGGCATGCTCGTTAACTTGGACTAAAGTAAGCAAGCAGGTTCTTTCCTTTACCTCCAGCCCCATTTCCAAGTTGGCACCATAGCTTTACAAACAAACAAACCAACCCCATTCTTTTTTAGAACCAATGTAAGGGATGTGACGACTTCAACCCCAAACATCATCTCTTAGCATAATACTTTGCTCAAGATAATGGGAAGTCGGCAGAGACTTTTCCCAGACTAGTACCCTAGTGCCACTTAGAACAGACACACCACGGAGGTTGTATATCCACAACGGTGTACAAAACCCTGCGATCGCCAATGCGGTCCACCCTTTTACATAAGCAGAAGCTGGAAAAATCTACCCAATGTGTGGGAAATCCAGGGCCAAGACTAAAGAACCATCGCCTCGGAGGGGGTGCTTGGGAAATCCAGGGAACAAACTGGACAATCCTGAGCGTTCGGGTTATTGTTAATAAACATGGTGCCTTGGAGGATGCCAATGCAGCTAGAATCAGAACGTGCTCTGCCTTGGATCCCTTTTCAGTATAAGCTGAAGTCTTGCTGCTAGGCAGTAAATCTGAAAAGCAAAGCACATGGATTCGAGGGATGATTCCTTCTGTTCCCCAAGTTGGGCCAGCATGGCAAAGCCACCAGGACTTAGGCGGCTGCCGTCGTACTCTAGACAAACTGAAGCCCCATCAAAACTTTCCTGACTACACTCTCCGTGCTGCATGCCCAGCCCCCGGGACCCCATTCACAGTGGGGGATTTATGGGGGGGGGGAGGAGCAAATTTTACTTTGAGTTGCAAAAAAAAAGACAATACTCAATGTTCACTCTAGACAAACTGAAGCCCCATCAAAGCTTTCATGACTACACTCTCTGCGCTGCATGCCCAGCCGCCGGGACCCCATTCGCAGTGGGGAACTTGTGGGGGGGGAAGGAGCAAATTTTACTTTGGGTTGCAAAAAAAAGACAATACTCAATGTTTGTGTTTACACTGTGATGTCTGCTCCTTTTTATTTTCTTATGCATGAGATCCAGCCTCCGACATTTCCCTCCCTCAGACAAAAAACCTCTCTCCGATCTGCTCTTCTATATGCTACAAAAAAGTCCCCCCTCCCCTCTCTCCGATCTGCTCTTCTATATGCTACAAAAAAAGCGTCCCCTCCCGAAACCTAGTGGAGAAAGGTTTCAGCTGAAGAGGGGGCAGAGGAAATGGTTTCCTGCAAAAAGGCATTTCTTGTCTATGTCGTGGTTTGCAATGGCTGGTGTGAATATTACGCGTCAGTTACTCACTGCGCTCTAGGAATGAAAAGGGTTAACTGGTAGAGCATCCCCTGTAACTCTCGCCACAGGCGGGGGGCGGCGCCAGCTTGGCCAGGGGGCTGCTCCATCTTGGCTAGAGAGGCCCCTCCACCCACGGGATCCTGGTGCACCGGTTAAAAGTAACATTTAACCGGTCCACTTTGGAAACAGGATTTGACATCCCTATAGCGCGCTCTCCCCATCCTTCCTTCTGCCAGGAAAGGAATCTCAGCCCCATCCCACCCACGTGCCTCGACGGCCCCAGGGAGACGGCTGCCAATCTTGAGGGCGTGGTTTAGTTGGCCTAGCCAGTGCCCACGCCCCCTTCTCCTCCAACAAGAGAAGGAAGCCAACTGTGAGGATTGGGCAGTCGATTAGAACTTAATTCTGCGTTCACGCTCACTTGCTAAGTCTACACTGGAGGGTTCTTGCGCAAGAACACGTCCACGCTGCCATGTGCTTTTGTGCAAGAGCATCCATGGCAGTGTGGACGTTCTCTTGCACAAGAAAGCTCTGATGGCCATTTTAGCCATAGGGCTCTCTTGCGCAAGAAATCCCTGCCGCGCGTCCACACTGCCCTCTTGCGCAAGAGGGCTTACACTTGTTCGAAAAGAGCGTAGCTCTTGCGCAAGAAGCCCTCTCTTACCACGCTTTACTGTGAATCTTCTTGCGCAAGAGCAGGTGCGCCGTGTGGACGTTCTGCAGAAGAATGGCTGTTCTTGCACAAGAACCCGCCAGTGTAGACCTAGCCACTGAGTGGATCCGTGGAGTGACATTAGCGCAAATGAGATCAGAATCCAGCCCCTGGCAGAGTTACAAGGACGAGCTTGGTCCAAAGTTTCTTTCCTTAAAGCCCAGGGTGAAATGCCTACAATGAAGACCAAGCAAAATCAGGTAGAGCTGTGTAGCCTCGGAGGGGGAGGATGGTCGCAACGCATAACTCTTAGCTTCTGGAAGCTGCAGGCAGGCCAGATCGGTCACATTTGGCTACGGACTGAAACTTTCTTGGAGGCCAGGAAGCTGGTTCAGTCTGGAAAGTAGCCCCAGATTAGCCGGAAACATTCTTGCAACTGGCTCCAAGCTTTTTGTGCAGCTTCAGCTCTTCCTGCCTACAGAGCCTTCCTGAGAGTCCAGGGCCTTCTGATATCGGAAAGGTGAGAGCCTGTGCTTTGGATTGGAAGGCGTCTGAACCCCAAGAAAGAAGGCACGCCCAGAAGTAATGACCGGCCCTGGCCCACCCCGCGGCTGCTGGGGGATGCGGTGAAGTTTCTTTAAAACACCGATGCAGCCAGCATATACTCAGTCCTCAGCCAGCGTGGCCGGCGATGTCTCTCTG